TCACTTAGCGGTAGGTCCAGGAAACGGGCTGTTTTGTCGTCGCCGCACCCAAGGGAGAAAGGTTTTAAGTGAGTGAATGGCCTGAAAATAGGGGCTCTTTGCACGCATGACATATAAATATTTCGTATGTCGGGGTCTATTCCGGTTAAGTGTCCTACAATATCCAGATCGAAGTTGCACTAGATCAGTCTGGTTTCACCCGCCAGCTTCAGCTATCGGTCTATGATAGATGGTGTTTCGACGGATTTTCGAAAACTCAAATTATTTTCAAAGTTATAGCCATTTCAGTGACGTGGCAACTAGACCGGTTGAGCGAACTATCTATCTATCTATTATGCTACCCGAAACTTAACGTAAAACTTTAAACGCGTTTTTCTCAAAACTCCTTTTTTTGATGCGGTAGCCACAATATCTCAAGTTCTAATCCGTCGATTTATTTGAAATTTGGCATGAATATTCTCTAAATATATCTCCATCACTAGAAGCAACAAAAAATAAAAAAATTTAAATTTTTGTTTTAAAAATAAATCGACAAAATCGCAAAATTTGTGAAAAAAATAGACCCTTGTTTTTGCGTAGCCGCCATTTTATGAAAAAAAAATTTTTCTTACTTTTGTTGCTTCATGACATAGCGACATTCGTACTCATTAAGAATATGTCATTGTTTATTTTTAAGCTGACGAGAAGGGTAGAAATCATGGCGTTGAGAACACTGCCTCTTTCCCCCCCTTTTCTTCAAGGACGCATAACTCGATGAAAAAAAAAATTTTTTTTTAAATTTATTTTGTGTACTCTTCTAGGTTTAATGAACAAATCATAAAAAAAAACGGATAGTAAAAATATCTAGTGTTTCTTTTTTATTAATTGTCGAAATTCGAGCCTCTAGACTAGAATACCCCCTTAATGCTCTATAAATGTTCTTAGGAGGCGGTCAAGTATTTGGGTCCGTTCCGGTTTTCGCAGACCCGACTGTCGTGGTCAACAGTATTTGTTGGTCCTTACCCCATGTGCTACGGGCTTGCGACCTGATGTTGTTGCTAATTTGTACTTTGTAATAATCGCGGTCGTATACATAGTTAACGAATACAAAGTATAATCCGAAAAGTCCTCTTACAGAGTAGGTTTTGATTAAGACGATGAGTTATCTGCGCATTTAGGACCCTAAGTGCAGGGGTGATAATGTTCACTTGACGGTAACTATGTTGGTGGCAGGCTAAGCTTAGATGCTTTGTGAAGGTCGGGAGTAACAAGACCTCTAGTGCCTTTACTACTGGCGAAAGGAGAGTTATCGGCCGATAAGACCTACCTAGGTTGGCAAGTTTCTCAGGTTTCAGTAATGGGGCCACTTTCCGATTTTCCACAAATCTGGTTTCTTCAAGTTGCAAAAAGTGGTTTGCAGGGGGTAGTCTGCAGTAAGTTGAGGACGTTAATGGCGAACTTTACTTCCATAGAACCTAGTTGATTGTGCATCAACATGTTCATGCCACCTGTGTCGATGGACTTTGATGAATTGATAGCACCTTGAAACACTTCGTCGATGAATGTAAGTGGAACGCAGTTTTTTGTTTTTGCACACCCATCGGTTCTTTTCTTCTTTTTCCCTGGAAACAAAGGGGTACACAAATTGAATAGTTCACGCACCTCTTCAGGGCGGAAAAGGTATGACCACTGAATTCAAAATCAACCCGGTCGTCGTGCCTTCTAGGTTTGTGGAGAGATTTAATAGTTGTCCATAGAGATCCGTTATACGATCACTGGTATCGACCTGGCGAAAGACATCGCGATTATTTTTTAAAACAGCTGCTCGGTTGTTAAACTAGTAGCCTCTTCAGAAATGCTATTTTATTGAATTTAAGTAATTTTGCACAAATATTCCAACATAGAAAGACCTAACTTCGGGTGTAACCAAACATTTAATATTCTCGCAATTTAAAATTTAAACCATTAATTTCGAGCAATTCCCACAACAGCTGGTTCTACGTTACCGAAGTTTATGCAAATTTAATCCGACCAAGGGCTGTACTTTCGGAGATCTAACCTCGTTTGGATCGGTAAGTTTCAGATTCTTATGATAACTTTGAAAATCGTTATTTTAACTATATGGAGGCTATAGAAGCAATGACCCGAATTATCCATTTTTAACACCAAAACTCATTTTTATCAGGCAAAGCATTTCACTAAGTTTAATTACTAGAACTTATACATGTACATATATATGTAGAGTGACCGCTATATTCAATACAATACAGATCTCTACAACCGGTATCTGGAGGTTTGGTAAGTTATGTTCCGATTTCTACCATTTTGGGACGTTAGATGTCATATCAGAGCCTTATTTTTACAAAATCTTTCTCCGAATAACTTCATTGGTGCTTATTATATGTTGCGATAGTATAAAAGTAAATACATATACATATATGTATATACATTATATACAACAATATGCAGAAAATTTTTTCTTTTTTAAATAAATTCAAAGTTTACAATTTAAAAAATATAAATATTAACATATGAAATATCTATGGATACATACATACATATGTACTGTGTATATATATAAACAATACATACCAAATATATGCACAATACACAAATTTATACATCTATCTATATATTTACATATTTTCATACATATAGTATAAACATTTTACTAAGTTGTTTTTTAGCATTTTTGTTTATTATTTTCTATTCTATTTTGCATAAACCTTGATCGCTTTTGCGTGGGTGCAATTTCACTCTCTTCACTTTGAAATATCAGCCGCGATTATAGCAATCTATACATATGAGCACTGTGCAGGAGGGCATCGTCACATTCTCTTATTCTCGAATATTTCACCTTTAAGATTTTAGGGGAATGTGATTCTATTGTGGCTAAGGTAAAAAAAAATATTTTTTGTTAAACTCTAATACATACATAGTTACATATGTATTTTTGTTATATTTATGTACTTGTGTTTATATATTTGTAAATAGATTTGAAATTTTATTATTCAGTTTTTAATGACGAAACGCTCGGCAAATGGCTAAGACCCGAAGCCAGCTAAGACTTGTGAATCAATTTGAAGGTGTCCGGCTAACAGAGGGATGATGGTTTGTTGTTAAAAATAAATATCTAACACACTATACATATGTCTGTACATACATATGTATATGTATATGTACATATAAAAATCTTTACATGATAATGTGTGTGTGAAGTATTTGTATTTCTTTTGTATTAGAAACATTTAGAATTTAGAAAAGATAGATTTTATCTCAATTAATTTTTGAATAGAGAAATAACCGTCTGTATTAATAAATAATTTAAAAGATGCCTGCATTGCCAAATATAAAAAATATTTGCATCAGAAAAGCTATTAAAATTTGTTAAATATTAGATTAAAAAAAGTGGCCAAATATCAAAATGTAAATTCAACAAGCGCCAAAAGCATATTGAGCGAAGCTTTGAAATCGAAAAATATAAACAAGCATATTCAAAAAATATTTCATTGCATTAAAAGTTATTTGAGCACTGCCAATGAGAAAGTTATGTAGACAGCCGGTGAGTAAGAATACTAGTACGTTCGAGATGGTAAATATCTTTAATATTTATACATATATTAAGCATAATATTATGCACAAAAATTTTTATTTGCCATTGCAAAAGAACATAAATAAAACACCCACACCTCCTTTGATAGTGTAATGGCTACCACAGCAATCGTAATGAATTCTGTGCTCGGCGTCGAGCCAAAAAGAATCCGGTCCGGCCCACTAGTTCTCACATAATATACATAAATAACTTTATATTAGACAAATTGATACATATTTGTATCTACATATGTATGTATGTATATACTTATGTATGTATTTTAATATGTGCACGGTTGTTTATTAATTAAATTTTATGTGAATAATATAATTTAGTAGTGATTGTCGTGTTGTTTACACGCCGCTGATAATTTGATTTGCTAATTCTAACAGTGAATTTTTATCAATATACCAAATTCTATATTATAAAATTTGCACTTTGACACAACATACACACAAGAATGGCATAAAAAATAAAATAAAGTAAAAATTGAGCACTCTTTCGAAAAAGTACTGCATAAGCATTAGGATTTCATAAGTTGGCAAGAATTTGAGAATATTTAATATATTTTATGTATAAACACAGTTAATATTTGAAGCAATAGAACATCAAATTACTAAATTTTATTAATATATGAGAACTTAAAATCAGATGTATTTTAATCGATTAAAATAATATTACTCAGAACAATATTAATGCATATTATGAGCAGTGACCGAAAACTAGGGCATGTATGTACATATTTGCAACATTTTTGTGATAACATCAATAAGAGTTGGATTTCTATATAGAAATGGAATAAACAAGACCGGTTGCCGCACATATGCAACAAGATGCACCATATGACTTACATACAAACAATTTTCAAGTATGAACGAAGAATAACGTGTTAAGAGGAATGAGAAAAAAATAATACAACTGCTAATGGGCATAAAAGAAAAGGAACTTGAAATTTTGGGCGTTACACTACCGGCAAACAAAGAAATGTGTGCTCAGGATATGTGCCGGTACAAATCTCGACTTGCCACACTGAAAGTGTACGACATACTAGCTGAAGTGGCAACATACCAACATATGTAAGTATATTTGTGGGAGTATGCATGTTTGCAGTATCAGACTGCGGAACTGATAGGAATTCATAAAAATATATTTGAACTAAATTATCTAAAAGTTAAAAATAAATTGGCGATAGCAAGTCCCGCACTGCTTACTGCATATACAGAAAACTGCATTGCATTTGTGCAATTGCTCACGCCAGCTGACTAATCTATTGTGGGGGTCTTTTAATACCAGGGCAGCTGAGTTTATACATATAGACAACAATTTTATATGTTTGGTTGTGTGTATTAAGAGTTTACAAACCACTTTTTCTGCAGGAGTTTCCTTTTTTCTGAAGTTTTCAAGAAATATTAAAACATTTTCCACATACCTTAAACAGTATCCAGCTTCCACTGAAATATGAAGCAAACAATAGGCCAGCAGATTCAATGGAAAAGTTCGACGCCTTCACTAAATTCACAATTTAAGAGCACACAGAATTTTTATAGAATCTAGGGCTATAGCCCACTCAGAACCCGGTAGTTTTTACACCACTCTCACAGTTTGATAGCTTCTAACTCTATTACCACATGCAAATTATTCACTTGTTTATGTTTTGCAATTTGTTTTGACATTTTTTGGAAACAATTTTTAAGAGATTTTTATAAATTTAAGCACAGACGTCTCAAAAAACTTATTTTAATTGCCTATTTCGTTTTCGACATTCATTCCAATTTGCTTTATTGACACTTTGCTTTGCGCAGCTATTCGTGGCAATGGTATTTTGACAATTATCGCTTTCAAAACAAAAAAAACTGAAATAAGCGCAAAAAGAAGCAATAAATATCGTATTTTTACTGGATTGAGGAATTTCAGATTGTAATGAGATATAGAATAGGGAAGCAAGTGTTTCTAGTATGCCTAAATGTAATTGTATTCATATATATTGATTTCTTGAAATCCGCAAGAAAAATAAAGCAAACTTTCAAAAACATCAAGCTTAACTCGGTTCTATTTTTTTTTACTTCATTGTTTTACTGGAAACGAACGATTTCAACTTTCTTAGAGTTTAATAAATTATAAAAATTATATAACAAGTCTGATATTAATGAAATCTTTTATGCAATGTTATTGATGCTGTTGTAATTATCAAATTCCGAATGATATTCATTTCGTTGAATGATTTATGTACGCTCAATATTAAGCAAGTTCCATATCTGCCATAATTTGCACCCCTGGGCACGTTGAATGAAAATCGATAAGTTTTAATCGGTGTCAAAAGTTAAGACGCCGAATTTTTCTCGTTGCTTGTATCATTTCACGTTCTTTGCTTCACGTTTCGTCAAAAAAAAATTGTTGCTGCAGCTTTAAAGTAAATTATAAAAGATTAAAAAATATAAAATATATAACTTTAGTATATTAAAAGTAAAGTAAACATTGTGCAAAATGGCTGATATATCTACTGAAGATTTGAAGGCAGAAATTAATGCTATACTGAAGACGGCGGACCTTTCGGTCGTCTCGGTGAAGAAAGTGCGCGAGCAAGTGGAGAAGAAACTCAACTGTTCCCTACTGAGTCGTAAAAAGGAATTTGATAGCATTGTCATGGATTTCATAAATCAACAACAAGAAGAAAGTGAAGCATCAGCGGAAGAGGAAGAAGAAGATGATCCATCCTCAGAGGAAGAGCAGGTTGAAAAGAAAACAGCCAAAAAGCGCCCCCAACCAACTCAACGTAAGGCAACACCTAAACAAAAGAAGAAGCGAAAGTCCATAAATGGATCCGATTCCGGCTCTGAATCCGATGGTGGCTCTGACTCGGATTATGAAATGCCGAAAAAGAAGGGGCCAAAGAAGAAGGCTGGCGGTGGTGGTGCCGGCGGCGGTTCTGGACGCAAATCAACGGGATTTACTCGCCCATACAACCTTTCACCAGAGTTGTCGGCTTTAATGGGTGCTGAATCATTACCGCGTCATGTAGTGGTGAAGAAAGTATGGGCCATTATAAAAGAGCGTAATTTATACGACCCTAAAAATAAACAATTCGCTATTTGCGATGATGAACTAATGAAGGTGATGAAAGTCAAACGCTTCCGTACATTTGGCATGCTCAAACACTTGAAACCACATTTTCTGGATTAAATAGTTTGCGATGAGATCAGTGGAAGCGGAGCGAAAGCAAGAGCAGAAGAAATTCCTAAATATCGCAACATAGGAATATTATATGATATATTTTATTTTCGTAAAAAAGCAAAAACAATTAACACGCTTCATACTCTAAAATAGTAGTATATACTATGCAAGATTATAAATTTTAAGAACTTTAATTTTTTTTTATTTGCAATTCCCCTTGATATTGATTTACAACATATACCGACTGCCTAAGTGGGTCGAACGCATTTTTCACTAAGTTTTAAGTTAATGTTTGTACGTCTTGATTGTAAAGCATGCGTATCGCTAACGCAATAATATAAAAAGTAGAATTGAAAATTTATTATAAAGTAAACAATAATAATAATAGTTATAGTATCTAACATTTGTGCGCCAAAATGACTATGTTTAATACGAATTTGAAATCTGATACGGAATTATCAATACTTTTATAATTTAGAAAATATAATAAGTGCATGGAAACGTCCATGATGAATTCGTGTGTAGCGCAAAAGAGTTAGCAATGCTCTTAATGTATGTATGTACGTGCTGTACGTAACCATATTGAATATTTGAATACGTTTTACCATTTGCAATAGAAGTAAAATTTGGATTTATTGACAATTGAATTTGAAATAAAGCAAGACGTTTACAATTTGAAAAGCATCAACGGCGAGGTTTTTACTTATTTTTTTTATTAATAACGTTTATGAGCGCGGATTAAGATTATATAACTTAATTTGGGCGTATAATTAAACAGGTGTTACTCTAGTAAAATTTCGATGGTTATCCAAAAGGAAAGGACTTCAAACTTAAGTGAAATAGGCTTGCTTTTTTAAGACGGCTGAAATATGCCAATGCAACCGTACTCACGACAGTCGTCCAGGATTTTTATACGGTAAAAACTGTCAACAGCCAGGTAGCTTGATGGCGACATTGACATAGTTCAGCGAATTAAAAGACAGTGGCTACGCTGGCTAGGTCATGTTGTCCGAATGGACGAAAACACTCCAACTCTGAAAGTAGAAGAAGGAAACCGTCAACTCGGTACAATTTCTCCAAATTTATTTAATAATGTGTTTTATCGCTACAACAGCAGCTGAAGTGGAATTCAGAGAACATCTTGTTGGTTTTGTTGCGCTATTTAACGCCAGGTAAGTTCCCTGATGCGTATATATGTTTGAAAATATTTATTGATGTGCCTGATGTTGGTGTTGAGAAAGCTCGTTAGGTGTCGGCTTTTGACCATTTAGATAACGAAGATCACACGGAAATTGTTCATATAAACACCATCAATCACGAGCTTTTGCCTTTGAACAGTGTCAGTGTATTCCAAACCGGAACGTGCCGAAATGTTTTGTGCATTATAAGGAAATAAGATGTACAAACCCGAAAACCGGCAGTAGTAAGGCATGATGGCTTCAAACTTCCGGTCAACACCAAGCAAAAATAGACGTAGAATATATTCAGAACGAACTGGAAGAGATTATCCTCTTAAAGAAAATAAAACTAGTTGCAATGTAAGCAAGCCACTAAGAACTGTGATGTTGAACGAATAAAATACAAAATATTGACGCTAAGCCAACAGGACACTTGCCATTCAAGTGAGAAGCAAGCACAAAGCAAAAAAATATCACAACAAAAACACTAAGGAAAACTTTTTGGATCATGAATTAAATCTACGTAATCTAAAAAACAAAACAAACCATTAGGACCGCTACGGCATATACATATGTACATAGCTGTCATTCAAACTGACAGTTACGATTTCCTTTTTTCAAAATATCAATTGTAATACGCTATTCATTTATAGTAGGGCAATAAGAATTTGATTTAATTTTATTTTTTATTAAACTCTGCTTTATTTTTATAAACATTTGCTTTCTTCATATGTAATACCTTATTTTTTTTTACACGCAAATAAACTTCGTTTCATTGACGCTATAAGACGTATTTAATACAACTGTATAGACAATAAATATAGTAATATAAGTACATTTGTTTTTTTTTTTTAAATAAAAGTGGAATATATTGACTAAAAACTGCATAACTTGGTAGCAAGTTTTGGTTCAATTGTGCTAAATGCAAAAAATTTAAAATTTTTACTAGAGTACAAAGCAAGCGAAAAATTTGAAATGTTATTTAGCGACTAAAATGCGATCAAATGTTTAATATATTAAGAAAAACCATTGCTGGTCATAGCAAAAATTGATATTTATCAAGTAGAATGATCAAACATTGAACAAACTAAAAAGTTGACGTGATGTGCATATGCACAAAGAATGTCTCAAATGTAATTTACTTTTAAATATGTATGTATGTTTCAGATTAATATTTAAATTGAACACTGCAGAAATACGTTTCGTTTCGATTTCGTGTTTTAGTACAACTTGATTTAATCATATTTACTATTCGTTAGTTATTTCAACTTTTACTTTGTTGGTTTGTCATGAAGCTCATTGTCATCAGCGGCGACGTGTTAATGCTATTTTAATATTGATTGATGTTTCATCATACATCGTTCTATAGGCAAGTGTGTTTCGCCTCCTCGTGGAGGAAAAGTTACTAAATACTACTAGCTAAAGTTCAAGTATCAGCTTTTTTACATTGGGATTCATGTGGCATTTCCTACTAAGCCTTATAAACTGCGTGTATGCCCATGAAACTGTGTGGGGTGTATGTGTGTGTGCAAACTAAATGCTTGCAATTCGAAATTAATATAATACTTTGCTCCTAATTATTATTGTATACTCGTAATTATTGTTTTGCCGTGTTGTGATTTTTTCCGCAATTTTGTGTTTTTTGTTAATAAGTGCTGCATTCAGTTTTAAATTTAATTCAATCTTAACCATCTACAGTATTTAAGCTCACAGCTTCAGCATCAACTTTAACATTAGCTGAAATACTTTTTCAAATTAGAATACTTTCGTTGGCAGTTTACGCGCGCGCTCCAATACCTTTTCTCGCTTTTACTTTTATTTTTAAGCTCAGCACACCGCTCTCGATATCAGCATACATCATAGAAGATCATATACCGGCCCGAAAATTGCACAGCGCTTTTCCCCCCATCCTTAGCTTCAACATGTTTTAGTATCTATAGTAGTTGGGCTTGAATGGCCCGGCTTTGTTGAGACCCATATATTTCGCCTGCTCATCGGTTAATTCTGTTAGATGTGCATCGAAGGTGGGCAAGTGTAAGCTGGCCACATATTCGTCCATTTTCTTTGGCAGCAAATACACGTCGGACTTGTAGCGGCCAGGTGGCGCATTGAATAATTCAATAAGTGCGAGTGCCTGTGTGGCCGAAGTAATTGACACAGCGAACGATGGTATGCTGGAGCATGACAAATTGACGAGACGTCCCTCAGCTAATAGTATGATGTACTTGCCTTCGGGCCAGATAATATGATCGACTTGTGAGCGTACTTTCTCCCACGTCAAGTCCGGTGTACGCAGACCATTCACATCGATTTCGGTATTGGAGTGACCCATATTACAAATAATACAACCGCTCTTCATTTTAT